GCCCATAAACAGTGATTGTCGCGGACTGCTGTGTTTAAAACACAGAAACCAGCCCATTTCCTTCCATTTTTTCTCACATCTCTCACCCCCAAACCCCTTAGCACCCTTGGGGAAGATAGAGGAAAGGAGGAAATGGAGAAAGGAGGTCATTAGAGCTTGGGTTTGTGGTTTGAAACTTTGATTCAAGGTAGGGGTTATTTCTTCCATGCTTGTCCATGGAGGCTAAGACTAAAATATATATATATTTTGATTCATACTTGTATGTATTTGCTAGGAATTCCTTGTTTCTTGGTTTTCTTGCAATTATGGCATGTCTTAAACAAAGTTAGGATTGATTACCCATGAAACTTCTTTTATAGCTTTAAAACCCTAGTTTTTGGGGAAACATGGAATTCTCTTTCTACATTTGCTCAAGCTTGGTTTTGAGAACTTTAGTGCTTTGTGTGAGTAATGAAAATGATGTGGTGGTGATCTCTTGTATTTTCTTAATTGGTTATTTGGATTGTCGCATGATAAAATTTGGGGATTTTGATAATGGTTGCTTGTTGAGGGCAATGTGTGGATTTTATGTGATTGTTGGTATGAAAAGAGAATAATTATGAACCGAGGTTACTCGTAAGTATGCGGTTAAGTGTGGAATACTTGAAGGGGGTAGAGGTTACTTGTAAGTATGCTACCTACCAAAAGAGGATATTTATGAACCGAGGTTACTTGTAAGTATGCGGTTATGTGTGGGAGACTTCAAGGGGGGTAGAGGTTACTTGTAAGTATGCTACCTACCAAAAGAGGATATTTATGAACCGAGGTTACTTGTAAGTATGCGGTTATGTCTGGGAGACTTCAAGGGGGTAGAGGTTACTTGTAAGTATGCTAACTATCAAAAGAGGATATTTATGGATCAAGGTTACTTCTAAGTATGCGACTATGTGTTGGATACTTGAGGGGGGTGGAGGTTACTTGTAAGTATGCTACCTACCTAAAAGGACATCTAACGACCGTGGTTACTAGTAAGTATGCGGTTATGGGAAACAAAGACTTGAAGGGGTGGAGTTTACTTTTAAGTATGCCACCTGCAAAGGAAATATAATAATCGATGGTGGAATAAGCGTTCCTTTTTGTAGTATGGTGTTACTATTGCATTTCCCACAAGAGCTTGTGGAGGTATGAGACTCTACAAGAACTTGTTGGAAATGGTTATGGTTGCTCATTGTGACTTGGGTTTACTGTTCATTTAAATTATTGCGAATGTTTAAACTTGAGATCTGTTTCAAATGTCACGGTTTTACTTCAAATGTTATATGATATTTTGGAAAATAAGACCGAACTGTTTTACTTGTTTTCTAAACCTTGTATGAGTATGGAAGGAATGTTGCTACAGAGCTTAGTGCTCATCCCCTACAGATAATATCTTTTCAGATTTCGTCTATGAGGAGGAGTTACAAGTAGATGAACCAGTGCATGGGAAGCTCCCCTAGAGGGGAACGGGGATCCTGAACTGGATGCCTAGAGTTATATTTCTTTTGTACTAGACTAGAGAGTTTACTTTGAAATCATGTAAAGTCTAGTATTTTGTTATTTCACTGCAAGTGTAATTTAATTCTTTTGGGAATATATTTGTCATACTTGGCCTATTCTTTTGGGATGACATTGTGGATATGACATATGATAAATGAAGGTTTATTTTATGATGGATAAATAGACCCGGTGTGGTCAATAGTTATGCATATGTGGACCCGGTGTGGTCAATTGTAATATAATTGTACAGGTTGTGTTTTGGGTAAAGCTCCCCGTACAAAGGAGACTCTGCCCAAATTTTGTTAAAATATGAATGGTTGATGAATGAACTTTCGTTGTGATGAATTTACGTAATGCTCTCATGGTGTGAATGGTTTTTAGAATGTAATGTCACCCAAGGGGGTTTTTGGGGCGTTACAGTGAAATTCCAGAAAAGTGTAACGGCGTACGGAGCCAGAGATGCGATTCCTGAATCCGATACCCCATAAAGGCACATGATTTTGATATATAAATTATTCATTTGATGGGAAACATCGAAGAATGAATTAGTTTTATGACATATGGTTGATTTCAAAATGATCTTTGGATGTGTTTCATAAAAGACGTTTGTTTTACACGTAAGTGTTGTATTGTGTTGTGGGAGTCGGTGTGGGCTCGGGATAGCATGCATGGGTGAGTTTCATCTCATTACTTGGCATGACATCATGATTTTCCAACATTGTATTATATGTTATTGTTGGAGGGAATACTTGTTGTGAAATGTTGCATTTATACATTGCATAAGTATTTTAGGTGATGAATAGCCTCTGTAGGGATTATTCTACTAGGCATTGGCTCACCCTATACGGGAAACATTTCAAGTGTGGGTCATGCACCAATGGACGGCTCACAATCAGGGTCACATGGTTGAAGAAAAGCCGACTTGTGGCTTCCAATCCATTTTTTTTTTTTTTGTAAAAGTAGATTTGTAATTAAATTTTGGCATGTAATGTGTAAAGGAATTGTAATAGAGTATATATGGACTGTTTTAATATAACCTTGTATATTTTGATATAAATATGATGATTGGACCCGGTGTGGTCAAGTTTTACATATAAAATGGACTCTATGTGGTTATAGTATTATATTGGACCTCGGATGGGTCATGTAAATGTTGATTGCACAGATTGTGTTTTGGGGTAGAGCTTCCCGTACAAAAGAGACTCTGTCCGAATTTCGTTAAATTATGGATCCCGGTAAATGGGACACAACAGTACGATATCGAGTTATACGGTATCCACGGGCATTCCGTGGGTTGATGGCAAATTAACGAATCCCATGAATTTTAGGTGTCACAGTTTTGCAGAAAAAAAATTTTTTGTGGTGATAGTAAATAAAAAAATTTATTTACTGCTGCAAATACTATTTGAAACAGGTTGTTGTCGCTGCAAATTGTTTTTGAAACTCCACTTATTCAGTTATGGCGAGTGTTAATGTTTGAGAGTCCACTTATATTTTCAAAAAATTTTGTTGCTAATCTCTAACTTCTTAAAACACTTAATGTTTAAGTATTTTACTTAGTTAATTCAAAAAGATCAGTAACTTAATATTTTGTAATCATTTAGGATGTAATCACATAGATGAGTGTCACTTGTATAGACGAAAACACTAGTTAAATTTATTTTATTCCCTGTATTTTCAGTATTTATACTCTCAATTACTTTAACCTTTACAACACTTCTTGGATGGAGGTTCAGGTAGCCCTTTTCTCCACACACACACATACATATATATAGACACACACACATACATACACACGAATGACAGCATAGCATATGCTTGTATAGATAGTCTATGGTGGATCATAACTATATACTATGTGATGGTGCTTGGAAAAGTTTAGCCCAAGTCCAGTACAATGTTCGGATGGCCCAGAGAGGGGTGGTGTGGATGCGTGAATCAACTAGGAGTTAAACTTAGAAAATCAGATAGAAACAGTATATAAGTTGTTTATTTTAACAAAAAGACTAGGGTTACGTCCACTATAATGAAATTTCTTGCTCCTTGAAGAGTACATTTCTTGAAGAATGAGGTTACAATGGGTTTTTCGGCTTGAAGCCTATACATATAACGCTTAATGAATACTAATATATCAGTGAAGAGATTGACAATAGTCTGTTGTAGTGTGTCTATGTTTTATTTATGCAAGTAATTCTTTTAGGATTTCTTGCGACTTCTTCATTTTTGCTAATTCTGTGGGTCTCCTCCACTTTTTTGTCCTGTAGCAACCTATGTCATTGGACACCATCATGCCCATGACCATCAAGCGATTACGTGCACAAATATTCATTTTGGCAGTAAGTGCATGTTCAATAAGTGTTGCAGAAGCTGTCCTCTTGTCCCTAGGACACGTGGCGTGACGGGAGTGATTTAGGATCAAAAAAGGTCCGAGCTGCTCGTTCTCAAGTTGAATATCTTCCGAGCTAGATGGAGGCCGAGTTGACCCTCATAAATCAAGGCACCGTTGAACTTTTCTTCTTTTGGGATGGAGGGCCGTTCTCATCTGCAAGGTGGATAAGTTGTGCATAAGCTGTTTGGGTTGTCATGCACGTACAGGTCCATCAGAAGCTCTGGCCCTTGGATGAGCAGCCCACATCAAAATCCCACCATTATCACTGTGACTGTTTTATAATACATTATAGTTGTTGCGAGTGTGTATCAATTGGGCTGTTATTGGTTGTACAAACGTATTTTTTGGACTCGTGACCACAACTCACATTAGGAATACATATTATATCAGTCGTGGTTGGTTGAGATGTGATATCTCTGCTTGAAGAATAAAGAAAGAAGAGTTGTGTCTTTGGTCCAATGTTACTGCTTATTTTATAAAAACTTTGTCTTCTTGAGATTATGGGTTTAAGTTCCCCTAGCTCCCTCTCCCTAAAAAAAAAAAAAGACAAAATAACAAGCTGTATATATTTGACCTGCAAGAGGATAGCCAATAGTACAACCAAATACCCTTTATATAGGCAATAAGAAAATCCCGCGTGAAACTTTAGTCAACAACCCATTTACTATTATAACGTTTATAGCTTTGAATACCCATAAGATATCTTAAACGTTTGTACCGTTGGTTTCTCATGATAACAAACGAATGCAAGACTGTAAATGATAATTTGAAAAACTCAATATTTAAAAATAGGTGAAATTAAAATTTAGTAAAGGGTTTTAAAAATTTTCTTTTAGTTCCAACCTCTTGATTTTAAGAAGAGAAAGTCTTTACAAGACAAATATTTTGTTGAATCAAAGACTCGTTGATAATTCAACAGATATTACTAGGGATAAAAGATAACAAATGTCAACAAATACAATCATCGATAATGAATTATTTAATGCATCATGTATGACAAATTTGTTTATAACAATCAGTTGAATAACACATTGAGTAGAATTGTTCGCGGTGTCATTGTTCGACCCCCTTAAAATTAAATCTTAACACCACCGACCACCGTCGCCGCCACCACCACCACCACCACCACACCACCACCACCACCACCGGAAGACAATCCTCCTGGTATTGGGATACCAAGTCGATTAGCATGATATATGACATCGGGATGATTCCAATTAATTGCAACTATAGATGTAAGATTTATTGTCTCCCCACCACCACCACCGTCAGCTCTTGCACTTCCTCCACTCCAGGCACCTCCCTTACTCATTTTCGACACGAATTCGACTGTCCTTACTACAGAAATCCACCTAGGATCCTAACTTAAGGTAAGCATTATATAAACAAGCGATTTGTAATCGTGAGCGTACACGTGTCACGATTGAATTATCGACGACAATCCTCTAAGCGTGTGGGCTCCATCTCCTATGCGCTTTGTTTCGAAATATGGGTGGCGAAAAATTCAAGTTAGGTAAAATGGGGATTTGTACTTTTTTGTTCTGTAATGGATGAAGTTTGATCAAAAGTGTGGTCTGGGGTGGGGGGACCTGGGGGAGGGTGTGGGGGTGGTGCTCATGATAAAGGCCATACAATGTCAATGGGAGAATTTATTATCAATTTACAACTCTTTTCAAATATATTTATCGTCAGTTTTTGAACTTATTTATTGATCTACGGTACTTTTTGAAAGCGAAATTCATAAATTTACTTTTAAAAATAAAACAAAATCAGCAACTTTGCTTTTGATGACCAAAAAAAATTAAATTAAAAGCGTACTCAAAAAATACGCTTTCAGTGTTGATATACATGCATACAAATATTGTGGTGCAATTCAGTGCTGAGTAGAGATCTAAAACCCAAATTTTTTGAAGCCCGTTTAAAAACAGGTATATCATAAAAAATTTGATGCCCGTTTAAAAACAGCGATCTAAGACACAAATTTTTTGAGCAATACTGTTGAGCAGTCCTGGGTCTTATCAACCTTTTGGTCTTCTCTGACTTTCCTTTATAGTATTTCGTTACATGATAGATGAGAGATAGGGGACTAGATGTGGCCGACAGGATTAGACTTAAAAAATTCCCAATAGCACCGGACTAGATGTGGTCGACACGAGATTGGGTATCGTACTACTTGCTCCTTTCTTTTTTTTTTTTTTTAGGGTTAACACTAGTATACCGTCAACCTAATTTTCGATATCATACCGAAAAATACGTTGGCCTATATACATGACACGTAAGTCTTTAAAATCGGTAAAACTAGTTATTTTCAGCAGCTGTAAGACATCTAATTGAGTTGTACGTAGCCTAAAAAAAATGTACCTAACAAAAAAAGTTGTAATTAATCAAAAAAGTTTTACCTCATCCAAAAGAATTGTACCATATCCAATATAGTTCTACTCACATCCAAAAAATTGTTACCATTTATTAAAGTTGTACCCCAGTTTTAACCCAATTATTAATATCAGTTATATATTTAAGGGGCAATTATTTTACTTTGCCCTATGTATTTTATCTTCAAAAAAATAATAGATGCTTCTAATTAGGTAATGTGGAATAAAAATATTACTGGATGGTGAAATATAAGGAACAAAATAAAAATATTGTTATACTTCATGGGTGTAAGTGTAATTTCCTAATGATGAATTAAGACCGATCATGGGAATGGGGTACCGATCCTGGTGTAATATTACACTTTAATCTTTTTGATATTACACTTTTATCCTTTAATATTATACTTTTAACCTTTTGATATTATAATTCATCAAATTAACATCTAAAATCATTCAATAAATATTCAATTTATCAAATCAACATCAAACATGCAATTTCATCCAATTAAAACTCAATTCATCAAATTTACACCAAATTAACATTCAATTCTTCAATCAACATTTAATTTTATCTAATAAACATAAAATTCATTAAATTAACATTAAAATTCAACTAATAAACATTTAATTCCTAACGTTCAATCTCATCCAATTTATATTCAAATTCATTCATTCATAAAATTAACATTGAAAATCCCTAAAAAAAAGATTTTTTTTAACGGAACGATGGATGGTATTAAAAAATCAAATTACACCTAATTCACGAAATAAAAAAAAATAGAATAATAGAGCAATGCATGCATGATACAAGATTAAAGAAATAATAAAATTATAAAGCATGCTCCTTCTTTAATGCATGTCACCTAAA